CGCCACAGCCCAGGGAGGCTGCCCCGGCACCGCGTTGGCCGGCATGACCACGTGTGTCGGGAGCCCGGATGGCGAGAAACCACCCATCACTGCCCCTCCGCACCAGAGACACCCGCCAGCTTGGCTCTGCGGGAGTGCGCCAGGGCCCCATCCACATTCCCAGGGGAGGAGCCAGCGTCTGGAAAGTAATCACTACGCTGGGAGGCAGCTGACTGGGCACATCACCGTCACGCAGCAGGCCACCCCTGCAAGCGAACAGTACTAGGCATCCACTCACAAAACCACAGAAAAGATGTTGCTCTCTGAGAAACAATTTTCATTTTACTCAAAGAATATGTGGAACGAGCAGCTGGGATGCAGTGACCAAGTGACAAACGCCCTGATGTGACTGGAACAACCAGCAGCAGGAGTCAGCAGTGACATGGGGACAGGCCTGGACACGACGGCGGCTCGGGGTCCCAGCACAGCAGGGGCACTGCTGACTGTCCGTGCTCACGTCGGCTGTCTGGGCCGAACCATTGCCTGCTGCTGGGCTGCCCTGGTGGCGCAGGGGCTAGAGCGCAGCACTGTGAAGCTGCCCCAGCCGCTGCGGCAGGAGTTCGATCCCCGGCTAAGGGGTGACCCCCAGGGCGCGGCAGACCTCTCCTGGCCCGCCCGTGCTCCCCTCATCAGTGCTCTTCGCCCATCTGCCTGTTCTGCCCCCCACTGTGTCTCTGGTGAAGCCTCTCACACCCCACACCTCTGGCCTGTCCTCAGCTCTGTGTGCATAGAGAAATAAAACATTAATAAAAAACTTCCTGCTTCAATCACGCACGGCACGCACGGTAGTGAGTCCCACCTGCCAGCTCTCTCCCCGCCACGCCAGGCAGCGGTGGCTCACTGCACTCGCCAGCGCAGACTGACCACGGGGGCAGTTCTCTACATGGCTCTCCTAAGGGCCTCAGACAGCAGTGGGCCACTCTAGATGCTTCTGATGGTGACGCGTGAGCCACACCCTCTGCGCTACCACCAGGAAGAAACAGCACCAAGGTAAAAGGGGAGGAAGTATCTGCCTGCTCAAGAAAACTCTCAGAAATCTTTCCCTCGGAAGAGTTCTGAGTCCTTTCAACTATCTCCCACTAAAAGCAGTGACTGGTGTCGGTGCCTGTGTGTGGCACTCCCAGGGCCGCTGGACAGATGCTGGAAACCAGCCTGGACACTCATCAGAACTGGGATGCGGCCTTCGTCCACGAGGACCTCCAGCTAGTCCCAGGTGAACATTTCCAGCACATGCTCGCAGATCTACAATTAAACGCCTTGAAGGTCCTTAGGCAACATCGTGACTAAAGGGAAGAATACAGGCTTGGAGTGAAGTTCTGACTTGGCCTCTGCTGAGGTGTGGACCTGGGTGCGTCGGTCTTTCGGAGACCCAGTTTCCACAGACACAAAACAGTACATGCCTACGAAGGTAGCTGCAAAGGTGAGAAATGACTGTACTAAATGCACTTGACACAGGACCTAACATAGGCTTCAATAGGTGCCAGTTGAATAATGAGATCCACACAGCAAAATAAAATACATCGAAGCTACAGCTCATAATATATGTTTGTTGACTTCAACGTCTCAAAAAGGGTAAAGTGAAAATAATTTACTTATAGTAGTTTATTACCATCAAGTTCACAGAAGTGATCTTGTGAATCATCGTATCTTGCCCAGTCAATGAAAGCTTCTTTGCTTTGATTGCTATAAGAAGGGAATATAACAGAAAGAGGATCGGGTTAAAAATTCGAACATTGTACTCTGGTAAATTAAAAATAGGTAACTTGAGGTTACTTTCTTATTACAGAGTATCACATATTCAGTTATTGGTGTTTATATGAAAAAGTGATGAAAACAACTTATATGGAAAACAGATATTAGCTTCCAAGAGTCATTTATATACCTTAACTACATTAAAACTAATCCCAGTGCAATTATTTCGACTAAAAAATTTGTAAGTATATATAAAATGTCGTCAAGCGCAACCTTTAAAGCTGGCTTTTCAACTGACTTAGAAACTGTGGCAAATACCAATTTTTTCCTGAATCAGGAATTACTGTTATAATTCTTTCAATTTAAATCGCATCTTTGCTCACAGGACTCAAAATACCAACAAGGGCATTTCTGAGCCCCTCAAACAGGCTCAGACTCGCAGGCAGTGCCTAGGCAGCATCGCTCACTCATTCGCACACGAGCTGCGTTCACAAAATGCACGGGGAGTTCTGACTGGAACAATCACATTCATTTAAATGAACTTTTACCTACACTCAATTTACCCTATATTCAGACTTTCTTGACCTGTCTTGAAAGCATGAAGGCAGCATCTGTAAAAGAAGTATTATTACCCTTTTTATTTACTCCATGAAAGGAAAAAACCAAGGCAAAAAAAAAAAAACACACACACAAAAAACTGGATAGCAAGCCTAATTAGGGAACCGAACCAGGGTGATCCCAAGCCCCAGTCAGGGAACCTCAGCAGGGTGTTCACAAGCTCCAGTGAGGGAACCTCAGCAGGGTGTTCACATGCCCCAGTCAGGGAACCTTAGCAGGGTGTCCTTACAGTCAAGAACTGCTGCTGCACCAGCACAGCCATGACTAGTAGGTGTGTCTGCCTGGCGGCCTCCATCAATTTTATCAATAAAATTATTAAGTACTGTGGGCAGTTTTTCCCCTATGGAAATATATAATTAATAAAAGTTAGTGGAACACAGTGGACTGAGTTAAAAATATCTGATGCCTACATTCCAGTTACAGCTAGAATGATAACTGCAATTATGTTTCATCAAATAATTCTACTGGAAACACACAAAGCAACAGCATCAAATTCCTACTTTTTGGCTAGCAGCAGAACTTCGAGGAGCTCTTTGCTGGAATATCCCCAACCTGATAAGGCTCTTGCTGAATGTGTCCCCAACCCCGCCAGAGCCACGCCGGCGGGAGGCAGCTTAGTGCCAGTGGAGAGGCTCAGTCAGGCACAGGCGGGCCAGAGGCCGCGGGGCCAGTCTTCCCAGCAGCCAGCGCCAAGGTGGGTGTCCAGCCGCTGCGTGAGGCTTCAGGTACTGACACAGACCTTCCTGTGATGGTGCAATGGCCATGTGCTTGTCCAGTGGAAGCAGAGGGCAGCAAGGGGTGGGGTGGAGGGACACAGACGAGCAACGGAACGTGTGGGGACCCCACTTCGTGCGCGACGCAGAATGTCAAGTATCAAATGCATGTTCTGAGCAGAGCAGTGAGAGCAGTGATGCTTCACGGAAGCCTCTTTACATTCTGGTACCAACTGGCGGGGAACGCCTGAGTGCGACGGCCCGCATGCAGCCGGGCACATTCTGGAAAGACGCGTCGGCGTGTGGGCTTCATTCCCAGGTACGGCTCCAGAGGGGGGGTCCCCACGCGCGCGGCCCCAGGGAAACCGCCCGCGCAGACAGTGAGAGGGCGGCGGGGACCCTGACACCATGCGCTGCGTGCCGCTGGTGTATTTACGGGGTGAAAGTATTTCATGACTAAAAGGAATGAAACAGTCTCTGTTTCAAGCTGGACACATCTAGAAAGCAAAATGTGTTGTATATAAAGAAAGTTGTACAATGTAAGCACAAGCACAGTAACAGAACACCGTGTACTAAAGGAGATCTAGCAGCAGCACACAAATCCAGGTGCGTGTTGCTGTTTGCACACACGTGTGTCTATTCATACTAAAAATATGAACTGTGCAATGCCAACTTTAGCACATAAAAGGAGAAGAAGGAATAAAAACAGGAGAATAGAACAAAGGATTTTAAGGTTAACTTTGCCATTTCTCCTGAAAACATGGTAGGTGTTAATATTCATTTGGAACAGGGATGTAGGCTATTTGTTATCATTTTTCTATATTAAAATTTTTCTTCAATAATTAAATAAAACTCCTAAGACTAATAATTACAGCACATGAATACAAATCTAACAGGGATATTTTTAAAAAGTGAGTAATATTCCACTCCCCATTCTCAGCTCTGCTCATTTTGTGCTCATGAGACCATTTACAAATTATTTGTTGGCCCTCAGAAATAGGCTTTGAGTCAGTAAGGAAAAGTCAGCAGAAAGGAATCTGTGAAACTTAGCTGTAAAAGGTAACTTTTCTCAAATAAATGTAACGAGCATATAGATTGAACTTCTATTAATAAAAGAACTAAGAGGATCAGGCTCCTTTTCCCATAATAAAGAATTCAGAAGCTTTCTAGAAACCTTAGTCACACAACCCTAGGTCTTACTGTACAGTCTTGTCACTGTCGATGCGACACTGAAACACATCAGCTAAGAAGTGGATGACATCGATCATGGAGTTTAGGACACCTTCCTCCTTTTAAAAATTAGTTGAAAGCTGAATGTTTTCTCAGACCACATGTAACAAACCCCACATAATTTCTGATACAAACTAAATATATCTTATTAATACAACTAAGATAAAACTTGCCTCAATGTGCTGTTAATCGCTCCCAGCTTATTTGCTTGTTCACAAGCATCCAGTTCTTTCGTATTGTTGGCCACTTTCAGGTACTGAAAGAAAGCACACGGTGGCAGTTTAGACACGGCTGGCTTGTAATGCTGCCCGAGCTCTCCACAGCGCTTCCGCAGAGACGCTCACACGCATGTGCCACAGTGAGACAGAAAGCAGGCCAGTGGTCACGGTGACAGCAAAAGCTAAAAGGAGTGGAAGTCAACCGCAGAGGGCGGCTAATTCCTCTGGGCACTGCAGCAACACCTCTCACAGGCCAAGTCTCAAAGCATAATGCAGACTGAAGAAGCTGTTTCTAACCTGAATTCTTAAACAAGAGTGTGACTTTTAAAATATCATATAAGAGGGCCCTCCCTGGGGGCGCAGTGGGTTACAATGCAGCACTAAGAAGCTACAGCCCTTCAGCATGAGTTTGATCCTCACTCCGAGGTGACCCACAGGGTGTGGCAGACCTCTCCTGACCCACCCGCTGCTCCCTCAGCAGTGGACTTTGTCAGTCAGCCTGTTCTGCTCCCCACTCTGTCTCTGGTGAAGCCTCTCACTGCCCCTGTACCTTTGGCCTGCACCCCCCCATTCTGTATGCATAAGAAAATAAAAATCTAAAATAAATGTCATAAGAGATCTACACATACATGGACCTATATGTGCACAAATATGTGCACAAATATGTGTAGAAATAAAAAACCACCACGGGTATACATCCACTTCAGAGCAGGGGCTGGGAGAGAGCGAAGAGGCAGACGGCGCCGGGCAGGGGTCGGAGAGGGTTTCCGCTGCCTTTGAACCAAGTCATCTACTCTCAGCCTCACATAAGCGCAGCAGCAGACATCCCGAGGATGGGGAAAGCGCGGAGAGGAGGCCCCGGGAGCAGTCAGAGAGGGCTGAGGGCCTTCGCTGTGCGGGAGGCGTCCCTTAACGCGGAAGAGGAGCAAGGCGAAGTGAGCGTGCTCGTGGGAGGACAGGAGCAACCGCTCGGGAGGTCTCACTGCCATTGCAAGCCTGAGTTCAGGCTCGTGACACGGGCTTACTCTGCTCAAGGTGATCGCGCGCCAACAGGAGGAAGCTGCAAACACCTGCGTGACAAACACCTGCCCAGCAGTGCCGACACTGTGGTCACACGTTACAGTTTTTCTAGAGGCTCCGAAAAAGAAAATATCTCAAAAGCTGCTGTATAACTTAATGGCAACACAAGCCACTTCTTTTCTTGCTGCGAGAAGTAGAGATTTGGGGTCCTGAGGGAAAGCGTGCCCACCACCCACTAACCACCGGACGGCTTCCTTCTGCCATCTCTCTTAAGCAATAAAGGGAAACTTTTACTCTCCAAAGTAGAAATATTGATAGAAGAAAAATGACTCACCTTATTGGAACTTCCAGCTTTGATTCCAACGGGAATTTTACTCTTAAAAGAACAACAAAAAGATTTTCAGTGATTTTATGTATGTTGCGATTTCTTCACAATGAGTAATGCTACCAACCTAGCTCAAAGGCTGGCTTCTCCTGTGAGAAGATGCGCATTCACTAGCGTTCTGCTGCTGTCTGCTCTTGACAGAAAGGCACAGTTACCCCATTTGTATGTTTATGATTCATAGACAGAATCGCGTGACACGAAAGTCAGTCAAAATCAGCTCTACTGCTCCTCAGTGCAGGGTTTAATAGTTTGTATGCTTTGTGGGTTAAAGAAAGATGGCTTGTTTCATAAACTTTGTCATAGAACAGAGGCTCTTAAGACTCAAAATTCTGAGTCATGTTCTTACTCTACTTTACTTTCTTCTTTAAGTTGACATTTAAAGTTTAGGCAAGTTTGAAGGTGAGAGTAAGCCCATGGCCCCTGTGATTAGCTAGGGGTTCGCTAACCTAGGTGACACAGTAGTCACCAGGGGAGAGCTGCATACAGATTCAGCTTTCTATCTACAATGCAAATACTTTTTGACTTAATAAATGTATGGAGTATTACAACGAGATTATCAAACAGGGTTATTTTTTTCCAAACACAATTTAACCAAAAATCCTACAGGAAAAACAAGCCTAGTTTGATTCCTCATTCAAAGGAATCGACCAGTGGGTTGCTTTCCGGTATTTGAATCTATGGGCTATCAACAGCAAATTAGCTATTAAAGAGGTTCATATTTCATACAGAAATTTTAAACAAGTATTTTCCCATCACAGTAAAGAATGTAAGTGTTTTCCCCCATCAATAAAAATTACCAAAGACCATGTAGATAAAAATGTTACTTGCTGCCAGAATAGAGGGCAGAAGAGAGAAAAATGATAAAACTCAAGTTAACTCTGTCACACTTACATGATCCTGAATTTAAAATGTAAATACTAATAAAGTACACCGCTTCTGTATGCCTCCAACAGAATGACAGCACATGCTAATATCTGAATGGTCAACACCTTTTGAAAGGTTCAATGCTAAATAATTCACACTTGAGCTCACCGAGGTAAATGCCAACACAGGCTATCTGGAAGCAGCAGGGAAGCAGCACCAGCGATCACCACGAGTTACATGTGAAAGTCACAACCAGGCTTTAGTAAGCAATAAAGTGTGAACCTGCTAACCAAGTCAAGCATGAAGAAATCCCAGACTGCAAACTGCACACTGGAGCTATCGTGGCAGGCGTGGGCTCCGCACGAAATTGCTACTACTCAGTTTTCCTTCAGAGAGAGGGAATCCAAGTACCCTGTCAGCACGCAAAAGACCAAAGCTACGGGACAGTGTTACCTCTGGGGAGGGGGGGGGGCGGGATCGGACAGAACCTTTAAATACATACAAATGTCGTATTTGTTATGTTAAGGGGTCATGGACTAATAAGCATTTTTATTATTCTTAATTAGATATTTAAGGCCTCATTAGTAATTCACTGTAGACAATAAATACTATTTCAACACAAAAAAATTCAGAAATTCATGCTACCCAAAACCAAATTATTTCCATGACACAGCAATAAAAAGCAACTCAACTTAAACATGGACAAAGGGTTTCACAATACGTTTCTCCAAAAAAGATGCCCAAATGCCAATAAGCCCCTGGAAATGGCCACCAGGGGGCTGAACATCGAATCCAGAGTGGGATACTGTACAGAGGACACACAACTTGAAATGCCAGGAAGAGTTCCAACCGGCCTCAGTCCCTGGGGCACTGCTGGTGGGTGCGAAGCAGCCCAGCCCCCAGAGACAGACAGCGGGTCCCCAAACGCCAGCCAAAGCCGGGGTCTGAGCAGCAACCCCCCCTCAATCCCCAGGGCCCAATGCGCAGGAGGGGCCCAGGCACCCAGCTGGCTAACTGCTCATGGCAGCTCACATCACTAGAAGGGAAAACAACTGCATGTCCGTCAGCTACTGAATGAAGGCGTGAGGTCTGCTTCCACAGGGGACTCTGATTCGGCACTGGGACGTGCCAAGTGCTGCTACAATACGCCAGACCTTAAAAACACTGCTAAGAAAGAGAAGTCAGTCCTAAAGATCACACACTGTGTGATTCCCCTCCCCTTAGTGTCCCTTAGTAAGCCGCGCCACAGAAACGGTGAGGTTTCACCGTTCCTCACAGAGGAAGGTGGTACGGGAAGAGACTGCTAATTAGAGGGCGGCTTTGCGGGGTAACGGAAATGACTGAACATGAAGTGGTGGTGACGGTGGCACAACTCCGAGGACAATAAAAAATCACCCAATTGCGGCCCTCCCTGGTGGCGCAGCGGGTTAAAGCACAGCACTGAGAAGCTAAAGCCACTTCCGCATGAGTTCGATCCCCGCCTGCCCCCGGAGGTGACCACATGGCGCGGCAGACCTCTCCTGACCCGCCCGCTGCTCCCCTCAGCAGTGCACTTCGTCAATCTGCCTGTTCTGCTCCCCACTCTGTCCCTGGTGAAGCCTCTCACCATCCTGAGCCTCTGGCCTGTACCCCAGCTCTGTATGCACAAATAAATAAATCTTTAAAAAAAAGTCACCCAATTGTATACTGTAGATGTGAATTTTATGGTATGTGAATTATCTCCAAAAAGCTGTTACCAAATTTTTTTTGATATTAAAAAAATGATACGAGTGCAGACAGACAGTTAAAGAAAGGGAAGACGAGAGAAAGCTCTTGCTTACAATGAAATGCCAGCCAATAAGCACGAAGGAAATGAAATCAGAAAAGTATCACTATTTGGCACCCGTGGCGTCCATGTCACTCAACAAGAATCGGCTATCCGTACTAAAAGCACCAGGTGAGAGTGCCATGAAAACGGAGTGTTTTCAGCCTCAAAGAGCCCCCCACTTACATCAAGGGACTGGCAACACCAAGTCGGCCAAGTGACCGTGATGGCATCATGTGTCCCCTGACACACAGGCCGGAGAGGACGAGGATGTCACCCCTGCCCTATGCCTGTCACGGTCTCCACTCAGGAAGAAGGGAAGAGGGGAAAAGAAGTTCAAGAAGTCGAAACACAACAACCCAGAGGTGGACTGACTGTCCCGGACTAGAACAGGGTGAGACGCAGCCAAGCACGTCGCTTCCGGCTCAGGGGTTTGTATCTTTTGTTGCTGGCTTTGCCGGAAAGCAACGTGAAGTGAGTGAAGCGAGGTCCGTATCGTCGACATTGATGGCATCGTGTGAATTCCTGGCTTTGTTCATGGTGCTGTGGCCAGGCAAGAGAGAAATTAGCCCCGGGTAGTTGGAGTGAGGCCGCGGGTTGTGTGGGGCAGCTGTTCCGGACAGCGCCCTGCGCCCATCGGCACGTGTGGCATGGGCGTGAGCCTAGAGGGAAGTAGGTTCAGTGGCGCCAGACAGACACCTCAGCATTGCACTCGACTACGACATGCGGTGAACGAACGGGCAGACAGACAACTGAGCAAACTCGTACTGAGACCCACAAGCAGACACAGCCGGGGAGGAGGTCTGGGCGAGTCGGGAGCCGAGGACCATACTGAGGAGGACAGAGCTGGACCTGTGGCGGTGGGCTTGCGGCAGCAAGTAGGTGTGCTGATTCTCAGTGTGCGCACTGGAACTTTACATGATGTGGTGATGTAATGTGATCTCAATAAAACTTTTTAAAAGGTGTGGTGAAAGGGAAAAAGGATCATATTGGTGACGCACACCTGAATGCTTCAGAAAATGACAACACATACTTACGGAGTTAAAGCACGTGTGATAACTGTTAATGTTGACAAGATCTGGGTGCAAAGTCTATGGAAATTGTGCTTTCTTACCACCTTACCACCTATTCTGTAGGTCTGAGGTTATTTCAAACCCAAACTGGAAAACACTATTGTTAAAGGAAAATGAAGTTCTTACATGTTTTGAAAATGTCCCTTTAGATAGAACATTAATTGGCTCAGATGTCTCTAAGGGCCACAGACTCACTGATTGGGTCATAAAAGGAATAAAATGAAAGCGATACCTGGCCACTAGCTGTCCACGCTCCTCGTGGACGCCGTGGTCCATGGCGCAGAGGTCCTCACTAGCGCATGTCTCCCAGTGTAACAAGACCCAGGGCAGCCTGATCCCAAGCTGGGAGCTGCCCACAGCCACTCCTGCTCTAACTCTGAGCTTTAAGGAGCAGCAGTGTTTTTCTGCCCCTGAAACAAGGCGCAGAGTCCAGAGAGCCGGGGGCAAGGCGGAGGCCAGCCCAGAAAGGCCTGGAGTTACCCTGGGCTACGCTACGGCTGTCGTCAAATCCATCTCGGTGGCAAAGATGGAATAAATGTTCATAATCGGGTGAGAGCGCATGCAGCAGAGAACACGCATGGGATCGGCCGCACTGGCGACACTGACGGAAGCCAGCGTGCCTGCTGCGGCCTCAGAGCCGGGGCCCGTGCTTTCGTTCCCCTACCTCTGGGCAGGGCTCCACGTGACAGTCCTTTATGGAACAGTGGCCGTCTTCTGCCCAGAAAGGACACGGGCGCTTCAGGTTGACCTTGGGAGAGGGATAAATTAACACCGTCAATGTGCGCGGCTGCAGGCCAGTGTCGCCTGCCACCACGGGACGCGCGGAGGGTGGCCGTGACCTTCCGGGCAGCCAGAGGTCACGCGGCGCCCGGCAGAAGCCGACGCCTGCTGGTCCTCTGACAGCCCGGAAGGGAGCAGAGTCCACACAAAACAGCAGGCGGGAGGCTGCGTCTGGTGTCAGATGAGCCCGAGGGCCTCACTTTCTCCCTCCTTAGGTCTTACTCGCGGTGTCATGGTATGGCCCAAAGCGCACCTGACGCACAGCTGGGGTGGACTGGAAGGCCACGCTGGCCACCGCGCCCCACTTGAAGAGGAGGGCGCTGTCAGCTGCCATGCGCTCGGGCACCCAGCCGCGGGAGGGCCACTTGACTTGCCCTTCACAATGACCTTGACCCATGAGTGATGCAGGGGTAGTCTAGATCTCTCCCACAAGTGGGACCGGTTTAGAGGGCCAGCCCATTTTACCAGTTCCTCAAAACTAAGAGTCCACTGAGGCTGTCCCCCAGCTTTATTCCTGCCTTTGCCCAGTCCTGGTCCTATTTTACTTTTGATGGCCTGTTTGTCTTCCTTATTAGAATAAAAGCTTCATTCTTGAAGTCAGATTCTTTCTCTTGTTCGCTATTATATCCACAGCACCTAGAAGTTCTGCTACAAACTGATCATCCAAAAAGTATTTGGTAAATAAATGAAATCGATAATACAGGAGAGAAATTATAAATAGCAGCTAGAGCAGCCAACTAACCAAGTCAGAAGTTGACTTTTACTTCTACCTACATTCCTCGCTTGTGGAATCAGATGTTCGTGTGTCTAAAGTGAACCTCTTCCCTAGGCTTTCCTTTTCTGCAACTCTCACACAGAGAATGTACAAGTGGTGGTTAATTTTTTTGTCCAGTTAATAGGTTAACAGACCCGGAAGATGTGGGGTACCATCCAGATCTCCTAGATTTGGAGCTGAATGCCTTAACTAAATCATTGTGTAACCTCCCCCCTTTTTGGGGGGAGTAGGTATGAGTATATATTCTGATTATAAAAGGAACAACTTTATTCTCTTGGAACAATTTTTTAAGTTACATGTACAGGAAGAATGAATTTTATATTGGGTAGCCACATTTTTTATTTCTAGCCACTTTCTTTTTCCTTCCTCTGTAATATTCCCTAAATTCCCAGTAATAAACCACGACATCCGTTATATTTATGCAAACCGAATGGTAAACCAAGTGTCTTTTCCTATGGTTACTCTAGACCAATTAGACCCTATCTCCCAGAAATATGACTCTTGTATAGAGTGTTCCAGGATATGGGAAATGGTTCATATGATTAAGATTTTAGTGGTATCATAAAGAGAATGATCATTAGCCTCTGCTCTGATTTCTAGCCTTTCTGATATATGCCTCGCAGTTTATCTTTTAATATTGTGAGCTGCTTCATACCTTTTCCCAAAAAGCCCTGTATTTTGTTTGTTAGCCAACAAAACTGCCTTACTTACCTACACCACTGTTTCTTCAGTGTAAAATGTCGATAATACTGACCTCCGAGGATTTCAGTGTATTAAATGAAGCATTTCATTTATTCAAACATTTGAGTGTCTACTATCCACCTAGCTTGTAGGGAGCAGAAACAGAAGGCACAGCCCCACAGGCAGAGCAGGCCAGTGCCTCTGGAGGGGACGGGACAGTCTGGTAAGGGAAAGCTTCCCCCACTGTGTTGAACGGAGCCATCTGAACCTGGCCTGTCGACCATTTTGACACTAGTAGCAGAAGCGAAGAGGAGAAGGCAGCCACTTACATAGATAGATTACATATTCAGATTTACCAAAAGCAATTTTAACCTGTGTTATTGGTATGTAAATGCCAAGATAACAGACAATAGTTCACGTTTAGGTATATTTACTCTGCATAACCTTAAACTGCTAAAATACTGGGATTTTTTTTTTACACTTAAAAAAAGGACTAAGTTGGTCTATACAGAATCAAAGAAAAGTATGCTCAATTTTTAAACTAAAAATGTAAAGCAAAGAAATTACAATCGCAATGAAGCAGTGAGATAATAGCGTGGGCAAAGCAAGAATGCAGCTTTAAGGCGCCCGTGTTCTTAACATGAACGATCCTTCATCGCTGCTTAATGCAGACGGTGCAGAGTGGACTCCTAGCGGTGCAGAGTGGACTCCTAGCGGGCCTAGGAGCCTCCAGGCCGCTCTCCCAGGGTTGGCTGGCACCTGCACTCTGCGGGCTGACCCGAGGCTGACAAACAGGCCCCCGCATTGCCCAGGGCGAAAGGAGTCTGGGGTGAAACCAAAAGCGAAAGGGGAAATGTACCCAGCACAGACAGAGTGCCCCAGGCTTCCGCTCAGAGGGCCGAGGCAGGTCCCAGTGCGCTCTGGCCCAAGCCCGCCTACCTTGTAGTAGCGGAAGTAGTCTCGTTCTTGCAGCTTTTTTATTTTGGGGAAGATCTTGAAGGTGTTGAAGTGGTCGATGCTGTCAACATCACACAAGCAATCATCCAGAACTCCAGTGACCTAAGAAAATACAGATACAATTTAAAATATGAAAGAACAGCAGATCTGTGTGGTTATGTTTAGAAGACACCTTCTCTGCTGATGGGAAAACCCAGCATTAAGGCTGCTGCTTTTATTAAGGTCAGCTAAAAACTACAGGAGGGTTAGACATAGCATGCACCATCTAAAGAGCTAAACATGCTTGTCAAAAGATGTTAAGTCCTCTTACCTAAAAATACACGACTCCATGTAGTCGAGCAAATGAAAAGCAGCTTCCCTCAAGAATGAGGCCCATGTCAGCCTTCTACAGGCGGCACTCTGCTGGCAGCCCCGTGACACCCTCACCCGCAGGACACCCGGCAGGATGCCCAGGGCCGGGAACTTCCCCCTCACTCCCTTATTCCTCAGTAGCCTGTGAAGCGGGCGTGACTGGCCATCCACACGTGAGGAAGTTAAGGCTGAGCAAGGCCAAAATTTTTCCCAAGTAGAAACAAGACTTCACTCCACGCCGAACATCTAAGATCCAGTGTTTTAAAACACTATTGGAAGTACCCATTGGCCAAAGAGGAGCTGATGTCTACAGAGAGACTTCAGAGCCCAAAAGCCATGCGGAACATCTTCCAGCCGAGCGTACGGGTGGCCTCGGCGGCATCGGGGCTGAGCGAAAGTCAGTCCCAAAGGTGGCGAGCACTCCCACATCACGTTTCGAGATGACGGAGACCTGAGATGGTCGCAGGGCCCAGGGCCCAGGGTAGGGATGGGAGTGGAGAGGGGAAGCGGAGAGCCGAAGCGGGCGCGGGCGCATGGGGCGCTGCAGGGCTGTGTGCGCACGAGTGTATTTCTCCTTGTCTACAACGCCAACGTTTTTGCTTATTTTCCTACTGACTTTTCACACTGATATGCAAGATCAGTACTTTTCTCGAGTCTGTCTACACTGAAGCTCCACAGAGTACTGGGTGTCTGCATACTCTATTCTTCATGTCAGTTTAGCCTGTCTTGATATTTACTACTCAACTGTCTGAGAAAGTGCTGCTGGACATAAAAACCACCAATTCACTTTTGAGGCTGGGTCCCACACTACCTGGAAACCCAGCAAATCTCTGCCAGCCGACCTCCGCCTCCCTTGGACATAAAGGAATTGGAACTAGTGATGCATCTGGATATAAAGTTTGAAGCACACACGCAGCCCTGAAATATTCGCACACATCACCAGCGGACTTGAAGAAGCCTGAAGGGACTCCTCAGCATGGCTGGGGGGGTGGGGGGGACAGAGCTCACACCACACGGAGAGAAACCTCAGCTACAAATGCAAGCGCCACACACGCCAAAGTGACCAGAAAGCACCGTCAAAGGCAACCAGAACTCACACCTGAGTCTGCGAGACCGAGCGCAGCAGCGACATCAGCGCAGCGCCGGGGCTCCCAGGGCGGCTGCAGGCTAGTTTGGAGGAGTCTGGCAATGCTGGCTCCGGCCAGGTCCAGCCCACCGACGGGAAAGCCCGGGCGAGCACTTGCAAAACGGAAATGCCGTCCTCGGTGCGTCTCGCTCACTGAACAGGTACTCAGCTCGCCCAGAGCGCGGGCAGCCGCCGGGGCGCAGAGGGCCCAGCTGGAGACGCCGGGGACGCCCGCGGGCCGCCCGCAACCTCGGTTTCCCGGCCACGCGCGCTAATTGCTTCCAGCCGAGCTCGGAGCTGCAGCGCACGTGCAGCTCCACGGAACGGCACCGAGCAGCAGGCCCCGCCGCGAGGCAGAGGTCTCCGCAGCCCCTGCCGACGCCTCACACTGGCGCGCGCCCTGGCAGAGCCCAGTGACCGCCGCGCGAGCGGGCCGCGAGTCCCGCGCC